GGCGGCGGCGGCGCGTATCAATGGTATCGCTGTTTACATAAATAGCGATACCACTGATCACGTCACCATGCTCGGCCTTCACCGCGCTAACCCCTTCCTTCCCTCCCCGCGCCATCGAATACCGCCCGCTCCCCCCTCTAGCCCCATGGGTTAGAATCCCCATTACTATACTACTAGTAAACGCGAATTTGTCGCGTTAGCGAGCGCCGACCAATCGAGAGCCGGGAGAAGGAGCAACGCGGACCACGGAGAGAGGCCCAAAATTTAATTTGTTTATTACTTTAAAATTCTATTAATTAACGTGAAAGTGATTTGATTCCTCAGTTCCAAATTGAATTCGTGGCAACCGTGCCGAATTTCAATCCGGTGTGACTAATATTTCCATATGAAAAATCTTTTTCCATATTTGATACGTATTACCAATTCCGGGAAATTCAGACTCTCCCTTCCTCCCGACTTGCGAGCGCCACCGACTGGTACTTATATAAACGGAGCGAAAATCGAGCACATTCGTCATTTTGGATCACTTCAAGCTGATCGACACATCAGACCGAACCACTGGAATATCTCAATAATATCGCAATTTCAAAAAAGAAGTACGCATGTATTGATTTCTTCAAAGCTTCCCCTTTCCTATACCCCTCGGGCTGACTGCGCTCGTAGGAGCTGCTCAATTCTTCCTTTCACTACCATCCGTCTCTTCTATAATTCATAATCAGTCTTCAATTCTCTTCTTTTCTAATATTATTCAAACAACCGCGTCGGTAACTTAACAAAAACATTTTCTGTAGAATGACCAAACAAGGCAGCCGCGTTAACCTCAGTATAATCCGCGTGTCAGTCAGTTCAGTAATAAATAAAAATTCAAACCTTAATATGGCGTCATATTCAACTTTCATTCAATTCATTCCTCCATCCCGTCTCGAAGGATATGTAATGATAAAACGGCTTGAATTGTTCGGATCCATCATTAATTTTTTTGCTAAATGAACACTAATCATTTTGACTTTTGTTACAATTACAATTATTCGCTGAAGTACTAACGCCAATAGTCAATTTGACAAATAATTCATAAATTCCTCAATCAATAATTTACTTCGTCTTACATTGATAAAGAACGATGTTTAATACTATTTCAAAAGAACATTATTAATTCAAAATTCTACTATATATCAAATATAATTTATCAAATGTTATAAAGGACTCCTGCGATACGCCGGCGCTTGCAGTCTCATGGTTTGCCGCTCGACCTGTAACTCGCTCCCACTCTGATCGTATCTCTCCTACTCTAATAAATACTCCGCCACTCTTTCAATCCTATGTCCTGCCCGCGCGCCGCGCCGGACCGTCTCTCTCTCTCTCGCTCTCTCTCTCTCCCCACTCTGCGCTCGGCAGCGACGCGACATACAATATGACACAAGAATTTTACACCAAGCCGCAGGTCGTAAGATAAATAGGCGACATTTCGCGAACGCAAAAACGTAATTCATATATGCGAAAATATCTAATTCGTGACTATTAGTAATTCTTAACATAAGCATACGTAACATAATTAGTGACAGCGGTGGAATAATAATAGTAGCCGCTTCACCCGAATTCATACCATAGTTATTCATAACACGTGTTTTATTATAAAGTACTCTTAAAACTTTGGCCACTTTCATTTCAAACATTTTTTTTCTATCTTCTACCAAGTTCGATGATATTCGCTTCGAAAGAGAAAAGCCGATTTTATTCGAAGGGGTGTTTCACTCCTTAAAAGTAAAAGCGAGTACGTATAAAAAAATACATATAGCTTATTTTTGTCTGGAGAATAACATATTAAAAGCTCATTAAGATCGGAGGCAACAGATGGGTCCCTTTCCTTGTAAGAGATACTCAACTTAATAATCACTACGCGGTGTATCTTGGGTAAAGCTAATGCTGATGTTGAAAAAGCAGAAACGTACGCATGCCCACGCACGTATAAGCAGAAAAATATATACTGTACGCAAGTAATAATGATTTCTTTCAAGTATTTCAAAAGTTCATATATCCGCAAATCTATCATAAGTTCATCACAAGCGTTAAATTTATTCAAAATATATTCTGAATCCTAGAAAGTTTAATATTTCAATCAAGAATATTAAATTGAACCAAAAATTCGATTTACTTATTATAGAGTCGATGGAAGAGAACCATATGTTTTAACAAAAATATCCTTTTTTCTTAAGAAGAATTCTTCTTTTGCTTAAATCAAATATCATATTTACTTGTAATAAAAAGATTACGGTTACATCTTAACGAAAACAATAATCTTTTTGTTATTATTACTTCTTATTTTTCCAGTTCAATTTATATTTTTACTGTTTTGCATACTTATATTCTGTCTAATTAACTGCAATTAATTATTGAAAAACGCATCGCACCCTACGATCCCTAGAACGGTAAGCCTAATACATTTACGCTGAGTTAATCGCACGCTTGTGATCGAGTCATTGCCAACGGTACACCTCCTTCTGTAACCATTCTTAATTTCATATCTCTGCTGACAGTTTAATATTATTAATTTTTTAATTATTTTTTTAATTATTTTTTCATTATTTTTTATTTTTAAAATTTTTTTTTATTATTTAGTTTAATATTATTAATATTTGAGGAGATTACATGGAAACGAAATAATACGCTATTTATTAATTCAAAATATTATATAATAATTATAGATAAATATTATATGAAGAAACATCATTATGGAACAATATAAAAGTCATGTTTACAATTTGGTCCCAAAATAAATATTTATTTAAATTGAAAATATGAATTTACTTCAAACAAGAAAAAAATTTCTTGTTTCTAAACTGTATTTCGCTTTTCCTAAATCTGTTGTATACAATTGAAAGAAATATATCAAATTTTTCTCACCCAATAAATTTTCTTACATCAATATATTATTAAATATTCAAGTTATTCAAATTTGACTTTTCTTCGATAAAATTTTATAATATACTTCAAAAGAGAATAAATTCTTATTTTGAATATATGATATTGAGTATTTCTAAAAATTGTGACGAGTACATTTTAAGATTACTAGCAAGAAAATATTCTTTATTGAAACTAACGGTTACTTGAAAGAAGAAAAATAAATTGAGTAATTATTTTTCTTAGCAACACAGAATGATATTTTTCTGTGTGTAGGTATAGTTCATCTTTGTTTTGTTCATGTTATTGTACGCCATGTAGCATTGATGTTTACATTGCAAAAAAGTTGTAGTTTTTGAGGTCATTATAATAGAAAAAGAGGTTTCTTGTTCAATTACTATTTGTTCTTCGGAAAATACAATATTTTACTGCAAAATAAAGCTTAATTCTTCAAAATCTGAGAAACTTTGTGAAAATGCAATTTTTCTTCTTTGCAGAAAAATTGTATTTTCACAAAGTTCCTTGGAGAAATTTAAATTTCATATTCGAGTTTAGTACGTGCAAATCCATAAAGATTGACCAATTCCATACGTTTTCATCACAGGCAAATTTTTTGTCCTGAACTGCCACTGTTCCTTTGACAAAAATTTGTAATTTGTCGTAATAGGTATACTTGTAAATCAGAAATAGTTTCTTCCTCTTGCTCCTTCTGCGATATTAGATTGCGTTCTTTGTCTCTTTCTGTTCGTAACAATTTGCAGGCGTCTAGTAAATGCAGCACGGGTTCAACTTTTAATTTAATTTTAGCGATACGCGCTGTCACTGCCTGTAAAAAACATCAATTTTTATATCAGTAAATATCGCCCAAAAATTTATGTATGTAATCTCAAATTAAAACTATTATTATACATATGATTTTTATACATTATAATAATGGAATTAAGGGGATTGATGGAATAAAGGCACAAATCTACTTAGGTCCTTTTTCTGAAGATTAGCGCAAATAAACAAAGAATTAATGTTGCTTACATTAGTTAAATATGTTTGGATTGTTCTGTGGTGGTGAAATGATATAATCTATGGAAAAAGGGTATAAATGATTCAAAATCATTAATGAAATTTTACCAGAGATTGTACGCAAATGGTACGACAATAATGTGTTTTCATTGCAGCATATTTATGTTAAAAAATCTTACTATAGAAAACTAATCAGATGATAATTGAACATTATTCAACTTCAACTTATTTTCAATTTATTTTGTACAAGTAAAAATAAAATGTATTTCACATTTATTTTATATTTCTTCTAGAAAAATGTGAAAATAAAAAATATTTCTGCAGTTCATAGTCTTTTCTTTCTGTCGATTCTTACAATATTATGATCAATGTTCGGAAAAAGAGAATAAGTACATTTTTTAAATTGCAAATAATTTTTAAATATTGATCATAATAGAGAAATATTATAACATATAACTTTTCAAAGACATTATATAAATATGCATTTAATACTGCTCCCCTTTGTGGTATAATAAAAAAAGTAACAAGTTATGTTAATTTTTATCAAAATCAAGATTTTGTAATTAAGCCTTTATTCCGCCAATCCCCTCAATTATACATCGTGGATTTACAATTATACGCATAAGTTATAAGATCGAGATAGTGTATCCGATGAATACAAAAAATTCGTAATTGAGTTTTCCTATCTTAAAATTGGCGTGTTACGTGCCCTGAAGCCTCTTTTCGTTGAGGCTGTTAGAGTATTAGTTTGAGTATTAGTTTGTCGTATCTAAAGGTTTTGGGGGTCGCCGATTTCGAATCCGGTCTCAAAATTTGGAAATTCAAAATGGTTGAATCAATATGGCGGATTGAAGTTTTACCGAAAATGCTAAAAGTCTTCCGATTTTTGCGAAATGTAGTATTAAAAGGTTTTCGGGGTCGCTGAAGCCGAAACCGATCTTAAATTTTGAAAATTCAAAATGGCTGAACCAATTTGGCGAACGGAAATGCTACGTGCCTTGAAGCCTCTTTTCGTTGAGGCTCTCAGAGTACTTCCTTTCCGTTGAAATGTTGTATCCAAAGGTTTTGGGGGTCGCCGATTTCGAATCCGGTCTCAAAATTTGAAAATTCTAAATGGCTGATCCAATATGGCGGTTTGAAGTTTTACGAAAATGCTAAAAGTCTTCCGATTTCCGCGAAATGTAGTATTGAAAGGTTTTCGGGGTCGCTGATGTCGAAACCGAACTTAAAATTTGAAAATTCAAAATGGCTGAACCAATATGGCGGATGGGAATGCTAAAAATTCTTCGATTGCAGCGAAATATAGTATTGGAGGGTTTTCGCTTTCGGTGATATCGAATACGAATTTAAAATTTAAAAATTCAAAATGGCGGAACCAATATGGCGGACGGAAATGCTAAGTTTCTCGATTTCAGTGAAATGAAGTATTAGAAGGTTTTCGGGGTTGTTAATGCCGAATCCGAATTTAGAATTTGAAAATTCAAAATGGCTGAACCAATATGGTGGACGGAAATGCTAAAAATTCTTCGATTGTAGCGAATTGAAGTATTAAAGGGTTTTCGGGGTATATTCCAGCGAAATGTAGTATTGGATGATTTTCGCTTTCGTTGATATCGAATCCGAATTTTAAATTTAAAAATTCTAGACAATATATCTTAAAGTTAAAGTTATCGGAGCTTGGTTCCCTTTTGTTAAGATTTATCCTGCTTTCTAAAATTCGATTTTTATTCTGGATTCAAAATGGCTGAACCAATATGGCGGTCGGAAATCTTTAAAATTCCTCGATTTTAATGAAATGTTCTATTAACCGGTTAAGTGGTAGGCTTTTTAAAACATTCCGTGCCAAAAGTGGTAGGCGTCAATTGTGAACTAAAATATACCAAAATTTGGCCCTGGGGGTCGTGACATGTTCACCAGCTAACTGCGGGGGTAAAACGTAATTGCAATATATATACAAAAATCGCCATTTTCATTCAACGTATTAGTCGCCATGTTGTGTTCGCCATCAAATTTTACAAATTTGACGCCAAAATCGAGTTCAGAAGCCCAAAAAACAATAGTATACCAAATTTCAAGCAAATTCGTTGAATAATATAGAAGTTATTCAAGATGTGCATATATGCTACAATACCACTTTTGGCACGGATTCTTTTTGTGCATATATGCTACAATACCACTTAACCGGTTAAAGAGTCTTCAATGACACTAATTTCGAACAATCTTTCCATTTTCTATTCTTAATCTAAAATTTTAAAATTTAAAATATTTAACTATTTTGGCGAACGGCAATTCTACCATTGGTTCAGCCATTTTGAATTTTCAAATTCTAAGTTCGGATTCGGCATTAACAACCCCGAAAACCTTCTAATACTTCATTTCGCCGAAATCAAGAAACTTAGCATTTCCGTCCGCCATATTGGTTTCGCCATTTTGAATTTTTAATTCAATATAGTAATTTAATCAAATAGTAATTTAATAATAAATTCGTAAATCAAAATCATTACTTTTATAATATTTATTATAACCAAAATGATATTTATTAAAAGCGTTTTCTACAAATGTAAAACAAAAAAAAGGAAGCAACATGTACCGAGATTAGATTAGCGTTCGAAAAAAAAGGATTATAAAATTGTTTATGGTAATTAACTAAAGATTTCCATTCGCCATAGTGACTCAACCACTTTGAAATTTCAAATTTTCAATCCGCCATAACGATGAGGTCAGTTTTCTAATGCAAACATTTAGAATATAAATTCGTAACAATATATTTCATAAAGTCTAAAAAGGAGAGTATAATGGAGCAGCGCGCGCGGAGCGTGCGCAGGGAATGTGCTAGTTTTGTATAAATTTTACAATACAAAGTTTATTCATTCAATATGAAATGACTATTAAACCAATATGAATAAATCAAATTTTAAATAAAAAGAACCCTATATTCGGTCAAAGTGGATTTTAACGTTTAAATACATAATAACACAATGTGAAACTCAAGTATACGTATATCTTATCGTATAAAGATTTGATGTCAACAATTGATGCTAAGTTAAATCCTATTAAGTTAAATTTTATATAGAAGACCGTCATCTAGATATTTTGATATTACTATTATAAGACGATGGGGGTGGTGGTGGGATTTTTTAATTGAGTAATAGTAACTTTAATTGTATACAAACTTACCTT